ACTCTTGAGCTCGATCAATCCCTTGTACTCATTAACACCTTCATGTGATGTGGTCAAGTGCACTGGCCGCTTAAAAATATAACTGCGGGCAACTTCGGGGCTGTCCGAGAGGAAATTTTGCATTCAGCAGAATAGCACGAGGTCCCCAGCTTGGATAGCCTCATGGCTTCCGATGCGTTCATACTTCCTCTTAGAACCCCATATGGGTCCTGCTATAGTTATCTGCAAACCGGACTCGAGCTTCAGTGTCAGTGTTAAAGAGTGTTTCACTAATCTGCACATCATTCAGGAATGCCTTTGTTTAAACAGCGCTAATCCTACGGTTGAAAGCGATCGTAATCCGTCCATATAGTACAGCTATATTTCACATTTTTCCAAATGAGCTGTCGGATGACTTAATTCAAGTTCATTTTTCTGGCACTGATGGTGTCCTCTGCGAGGTTCTTGGCTACGGTTCGAAGCCGCAGATTTGCTCATTTTGGTGATGGAAAGTGGACATAAAACTGCATTTACCTTTTTAACTTGTCAAGTGGGCGCCAAAAATAACAACCAACTCAGAGTCCCTTAGAACCACTTGCAGCCGGTTGCCACTGCATATACGTTTCATTTTTTCTATGAAAAGATTGGTGACCACTTTTTAGTTTACCCTATGGTCATGCGCTAAAGGTAATATGTTTGAAAGACTATGCGTAAGGAAGATTTTTGTTGTTATAAGTAAAGAATAAAGCTGACCGCGCACCGGAACATTTTGTTTATTTTTCCTAACTTTCGATCTTGTGCAGGAGTCCCTCGTCGGAGATAGTAGTAACAACAGAAAAATCCCAATGCCCTGTTTAATTTCCCAAAAAAATTGTTGTGCGAATTTAGAGTGGATCCATTGGAACAAACCTTCACAGACTCTGTTCACAATGGTTTGACAATGTAATATGTACAAGCTACTAACAGGCTGTCAGTAGTATAAACTATGCAACTATATACTAGGCGGACAAACACCTGAAACTCGAACACCCGCATCCCTTCACGAAACCACTTACCGGTTGACAAATATGTATTAAAGTCATCGAATAAGGGTGCTTGTTACAACATAATTTATTCGAAATTACAAGATGACAACAAAGCAAGGTGCTGACTAATCGGATGAAGAGAGAAAATAAACTCGCAAATATCATCATCATCATCATCATCATCATCACCATTTTTCAGCAGGGGGTAGTTATTTAGATTGAACTACCCCTATATTATCTTTCCTTTCAACAGCTTAGAGAATATTTAAGCAAAAGAAAAAACAGATATCATCCCAGGGACAATATTAACAGCACTTTTTGTACAGATCACAACCAGTCAATCCGACTGAGGGGCAAGGAACTTTTGTTTGAAATTTTTCTTCGATTATTCGGATAATTTGTAATGAGCGTATGAGTATATAACCAAATTAGTCTGCAGACGAAGGGAAGGGAAGTTGGGGGGGGGGTAAAGAACCACAAGAAAAATTTTTTTCTTTGCAATAATTCTAGATCACTCGGGCGCTTAAAAGACTGAACTGACGAAAATAATCTGCCTCTGACCCAGGGGAAAAAAAACAACTAAAAGATAAATGTAAAGGGACGCTAGAATACCCTATAATTCTGACTACAGTAGTGTTCATGCGTGACGTGTGGAGGAAGGGGCGAAGGGGTTAGTCTTGCATGCCAGCAATTTCTTCTGGTATTGTCCAGGTAGTTGGTTCGGGGGACTTTTGACGTGCCAGCTCGGGATTGGCGGTTACAAGGTCGTGCATTTCGAGGAGAGAGGCCTCCAACAGGGCCGAAAACTGTTCTGCGCTGGTCTCTGCATCATCCTTGAAACAGGTCACCACAGTCACAATGTAGTCCGCGTGGGGGTTGTAGGCGGCACCGTAGCCATCCGGTACAACCGCACCGTAGCACATGAAGGTATCCATTGTTGTCGGTACCTGCAAAAATGTCCCCCCGCAACAAGTTAGATCAGGGGTCGGCAACCTTCTTACCCCAGAGAGCCAAGAAAGCATGTAGTTGAAAATATATTTCAAGTTTAAGTTCAAGTAGATACGAGTATAATAAGCCTCTGGATTTCTTCTTTTAAATAATGTACTTATAATCTAATGGCAAATGCGACTTCTGGTGCTGCATGGATTCGATGATGGCTCTGTAGTCTGGTTAGTAGTTGGTGAGGTTAAGCTTCATGCAAGCGTTGAGGTTTTCGTCCGTTAGA